ATTTGATTTCTGTGTATTCAGTCTGGTGAGGTCCATGTGTATGTCTTTTATGTTGTTTAAAAAGAGTATTTGCAATGAAGAAGTCATTGGTCTTCTTCATTCTAAATTCTATCATGTGATCTCGAGTGTCTCTATTACCAAAGCCGTATTTTCCAATTACTGATCATTCCTCTTTGTTTCCAATCACCTACAATGATCAATACATCTTGATTGCATGTTTGATCAATTTCAGACGAAAGGAGTTGGTGGAATTCTTCAATTTCATCACCACTGGCTTTAGTGATTAGTACATAAATTTGAATAGTAGTGGTATTAACTGGTCTTCTTCATAGGCATATTAATATTATCCTATCACAGACAGCATTGTACTTAAAGAACGATCTTGATATGTTCTTTTTGTTGATGAATGTGACAAGATTCTTCTTCAATATGTCATTCCCGGCATAGTAAACGATGTAATTTCTAGATTCAAAATGGCCAAGACCAGTCCATTTCAGTTCTCTAATGCCTAGGATATTGATGTTTATGTATTTTATTTCATTTTTTACAATATCTAATTGTTAGATTCATACTTCTTATGTTCCATTTTCTGATGAAGGTCCCAAGGGTTTTATTTCATTCGTGTTATAAGGTCACCTACTTTGAAGAGACAGCACTTCCCCATTAGTATTTTAAATGTCTTCCAACTCTGTCAGCACCAGAATATAGAATACTGAAAAATACCTGTGGTGGATATGTGCCGTGGAGTCGGTTCTGACTCATAGTGACCCTGTACAGGGTTTCCAAGGCTATAAATCTTTTGGGGAGCAGAAAGCCTCATCTTTCTTCTGTGGACCAGCTGGTAGTTTCAAACAGCTGACTTTGTGGTTCACAGCCCAATTTGTAACAACTACGCTACCTGTAAACATCCATTAATAATTGCAACACTGAATATATGAAGCATGAATCTTGGAAAATTAAAGCTTATAAAAAATGAACTGGAACTCATAGAGATCGATATCGTAGGCATTAATGAGCTGAAATGGACTGGTCTAGGTCTTTTTAATCCATAGAAACATTCATATGGTTTACTATACAAGGAATGACAAAAAAAAAGGATTGGCATAGCATTCTACCAATTTCTTTAGTCTGAAATTGATTAAACATGTAACCAAATTATACTGATAATTACTGGTGATTGGGATGCAAAGATTGGAAGCAAAGAGGAAGGATCCACTATCAACACTCATGGAAACAGCAGTTAAGAAATCAAATGACAGATTGCATTAGGCAAATCTGCTGCACAAAAACTCTTTAAAATGTTCAAGACCAAAAATGTCAGTTTGTAGCAAAGGTAGTGAGAATGGCACAGTATTTCATTTTGTTGTGCATAATGTTGCTGTGACTTGGAACCAGCACTTAGCAAAAATAACATATAC